ACCAAAACAATTGTCATAAATATGCTGGTTTGAGCCCCATTTTTTAGAAAGAGTGTATTTTGTAATAGTAGATTGATGAAAATATGGGTGGCAATGGGACGGGTCGATCATTCCCATCCCATCCTATCGGATATTTTTGTTATCGTATCCCATACCTATATCCGATTAAAGGGGATTTGGGGCGGGATCGGGGCGGGACAAGTCTCCTGTCCCAATTTATTTTTTATGTAGTAAATAATATTACTTTTTTACCAATTTATTAAAAACAACTTATGTTCTCTTTATAAGGATAATAAATCTATTATTTTTGTTTGATAAAAATTTAAATTTGAAATTAATATTAAACGGGTCGGGAACTATGTTTCCCATACTCGTCTCATATCGGCTACAAGGCAATAATCTTCGTCCCATACCCATCCCATGTACTTGGTTAGGTGGGTGGCCCCACATGCATCGGGTTGAACGAGTTTTTTTGCCATCCCTAGATGAAGAATGTGTGGTTAAAAATTAAGCCCTATTTGAATCGTGTTCTTTTTAAAAAATACATCCTTAATTAGTGCTTTGACATTATTTCAACCATATATACTTTAATAAAATAATATTATACGTAAATCCAAAATTTTTCTTTATTTTTTAACTATACATTATATACATCAATTTACTATTCCACAATACATTCTTTTATAATAATGTAGCTCAAACATATACTAAGAAAAAATTTAGATTTGCATGTAATATTATTCTATTTAAAAATGTGTGAATGAAAATACGTTTTGAAAAAAAAAAAAAAAGAATTTTTAGAAAAATTGAACTGAGATAATATTAATAGACGAGTCCATAGCATATGCTAAGAAGATTACCGAATATCTTTCTTGGACTGTCAAAAAATTTCTGAAAAAATAATAATTTTAAACAGAAGATTGGATTTGAAAGAAATCAAGAAAATTAGGGTTCCTCGTGATTTCGAGCGTCCTTGCTGTCCATTGGATCCAGATCATGTGCACCGGGATGCACGCTGAACAGTCCTATTTTTCACTTACTAGTTTCAGAATGATTTACTTTTTTATTCAGATATATAGATATATCAAATATATCTATTTGTAAGTTGATAAGTGTAGATTTGACTTGAATGCATAAACTGAATTTGAAATATTTGACAAATTGTAAAATGTTTATTTCAATATAAATGTAATTTATATCCTATCTGAAAGAGATTTTTTTGCTTCTCATTAAGTGCTTATCTCCTACTTTTATTGGGATTTCTTTTCCTAATATCCTCCCTATAAATGTACCTTTTATAGTCTCATAAAACAATGCAATCTCAATATAACATGATATACGGCAGTAGAGAGTAATTAATAAAAATCGAATTGTACGAATCTTTCAAGAATTTGTTATTTAAATAGGTTATATTATAATATTAAACAAACTAATTAATTTTTAAGAATAAAAATATTACTTAACTTTAGTTTTATTAGCTAATAAAAACAAACTAATTATTTTTGTTTGATTGAAATATCGTACCTTGCCAACCATTGGATGCCTCTTATGCACGTGTTTATGAAAAATCATGTCCAAAAGCCTATGCAATTATCATCAGAAATAGTACACTGTAGAGAATCAAAAATTCATTTATAAATCATACAAACACGCCAATTTGACAACTTAGAAGCCAGAATAATTAATCGAAATAGATTTCATGCATAAATATTTTTATATTTGTTGGTGGACTTGGCCAGAAAAAGATAATCTGATGTAGGAGGAAGTTAGTTCCAGTATTGTAAAAAGCTCGCTTAGGTTTTAAATTTCTAAACGGTTGATTTTTGCCTTCATTTCTTTTGTCTTCCGTAGACATGTTTTATTATTATTTTTTAAAGTCTTTTATTTGATTTTAACGTATTATTATTATTATTATAAAAAACTTTCAATTGACTTTAGTTTCAATTTTTGAAAGATTTTATCTATACAAAAGTTAAAAATGATTTTATCTAAATAGTTAGATAAGATTTTAAATTAAGGTGTTATCTACCTTATGTAATTATGATATTGAGACTCGTTTTATGACAAACTCTGAAAGCAAGTATGAAGTTCCTACAAATCTATTAAGTAGGAATTATCTAGTTGAAAATTGAAACTATGAAAAATATTCTAATTTTTGCGTTTTGAATATTCGAAAATTGCATAATTGACTAATGGTAGGAGTTATTAATTAAATATTGTATTTTATAATTTTAGATGTTTAATATGTATTATTTTAAATATTAAATAATTTTTAAAATAATTAAAAATTTAAAATAATATTATAAATAAGAAAATGAGTTTCTACGCTTGAGGCTCATGAAGTTTGAAGGTTTGGCTCCACATCTAACCACGTTTTTCGCTTTTTAAAATACTGGTTAGTTCACAATTGGACTTCTTGGCCTCCTTCCATTGATCACTAGTACCTTGAGAAGAAAACAGAACCAAACCACCATAGTAAACAACCTGAAATTTGGTGTTCCATACTTTAAATTGAATAAAACTCGACAATAAAAGAATTATATTTTTATAAATCGACAAACAAGTTTTAAAGACTTCAGGATGATGGTATTGGTAGATCTCTCAAAAAATTCTGACGTCAAGAGTTCACCGCGCATTAAAACCATTGAAATATAGCAGCAATGGGAATAATAAACTGAAATTGGATCTGCCAAAGAGGATGGTCCGTCATCAAAGGATAAGCTATGGTTTTATCAGTTCCACCATAACTGCACATCACTGACCTCACTACACCAATATAAAATAAAAATAAATACATAAATAACTAAATTCTCTGCACTTGAACAAGGTTGGTGTAACGTTTGACACATGGACGGATTTAGGACTGGGGGTGGGCGGGTTTTGGGGTAATTGATTATACAGGTGTGGGACCCACATACTGTGAGGAACGGTAGGGGTCCTGAACCCCTATCCTGGTAAAATAGCAAAATTCATATCTATATGGGGAAAACACAAGCTGGATGAAAATTAATTCGACTAATCAATCCATGTATATTTATCGATTTTCTTTCAATTTATAAACTTTCTCTTTTTTTTTTCCTTCCCAAATTATATCAAGCGTACACTATAAGTCTTGAACTTTAATCCCAAAAATTCAACATTTTCAAAGTAGTCCAAACCCTAATACGTATGTTGAAATTGAGGTTTTACATTCTATAAACACCATCGTTAAAATTCGAATACTCGTTTCAGCTTTTCAAACTCTCGACACAAGAAGAGTATCCAAATCTTTACACGTCCAATATTGGAATTTCAATTTGTTAGCATTAAGATGCACACCATCCCCATTTATTATTTTTTTTTAAGAATTCAATACTTTAAAAGAAAAATTCCTTCTCGTTTAGGAATAATCAATTAATGGGGAGGTTGGATTATCACAGGAGGGACTGCAACGAATCTGGAAATTTGCAACAAGGGATTTTGTAGAAAAAATAGTATAAACAAGAAAAAGAATACCCTGAGGTGGGTATGGATAACAAGAGCCCCACCATCCCCATTTATTATTTTTTTTTAAGAATTCAATACTTTAAAAGAAAAATTCCTTCTCGTTTAGGAATAATCAATTAATGGGGAGGTTGGATTATCACAGGAGGGACTGCAACGAATCTGGAAATTTGCAACAAGGGATTTTGTAGAAAAAATAGTATAAACAAGAAAAAGAATTCAATACTTTAAAAGAAAAGTTCCACAAAATTTCAGTAATTTTAATAAAAGATGGAAACTAATATTATTTAAGAAATATGATAAACAATGAAAATCTTAATTTACAAAATATATTTGAATAATTTTGACTTTTAAGGATAAATATATTAATTAAAAAATTTAATAACTATATTATTGTTTTACTTTAATGAATAATAATAATAATAATAATAATAATAATAATAATAATAATAATAATAATAATAATAATAAATGGGTAGTAAAATAGAGCAAGAGGCCTTCCTCGCCCCGCCTTGCCCTGTGTTAAACGGGTAACGAGGTAGGTGGCAGAGGAAGTTTCCCTGACTTGAACCCGCCTCGTTGTCATCCCTAACTCCTAGTAATGAATTTGAAAGTGATCATGAGGTAGAGAAACCCTATATTTGGCATATAATGACGGAAAATATGCTAGGACTAATGAAGTATGAATAAAGCTTCTTTGTCAGAAAAGTTTTGACATGTTGCTTGCATGTAGTGGGACTCGCGTGAGATCCACTTGAATAAAAAATGTCAAGAAAGTACACCCATCCCCTTCCATTGTGAGTGTATGTTAGGGGTCAAACCTTCCCATCTATTAAAATTTAGGATTTTATCTTAAAATTGTCAATTTTATTAAGAGAAGTAATGAATTATAGTTTGCTCAACTCTTACAATTTCTTCCGTCTATTAAGATTTAGGGTTTCTTCTTAAAATGTCAACCTTATTAAGAACAATATATAGTACAATCTCTTATAAGTTAATATATATTTTCATCTTTATTCAATGTGAGATTTTATCTTTTAACATGTCCCGTAAAATAGTGGCTCGTTTGAGCACATGTGCTTTTATTTTTTATTTTTTAATTGGATTGAAGTACTCGTTTGAACTTCATGAGTTCTAATGTTATATTAAGATTTGAAGTTTCATTTTAAAAGGTCAACTTCACTGAGATGAATAGTTTAATCCCTTACAATTTGCTCTATATTTTCATTTTTATTTGATATGAGATTTTATCCCTTAACAATATCTCCGAAGTAGTATGTTTATTTTTTTCTTCCCACTTTTAATTGGAGTTAGATTGAAGCTCCTCTTCTCTATGTACTACGTTTTATCTTTGTGTTTAATTAAACACACCAATATATGTTAAAATAAAACAAAAAAAGGGCATCCGACAGCGTGGTATACCTCTTGAAGCTACTGATTGTTAGTGAGTACCCAATCTCTCCAAAATCCTATATAAACACATCCCACCCACTGTATTCTATCATGCACATCTCCTCTTAATTGACTCTAAGAAAACTCTTTCTTTCGTTCTTGTGCTCAACCTAGTACTGTGGTTCACCCCTCTCATCTTCTTCAAAGCTCCGTTTTACATTCTCTTGTACAATATTAATTTCTTGATCTCCTTAAAAAATTGCATCTAAATTCTCTGTCAAATTAATTACACATCATAAGAAAAATGTCAAGCCGAAGATCAAGATCAAGGCAAGCAGAATCTTCAAGAATCAGTGAAGATCAAATCAATGAGCTTGTCTCCAAGTTGCAGCAGCTTCTTCCTGAGATACAAACTAGGCATTCAGACAAGGTACTTTTGATTTCTCACTTGTGTTTAAATTTGAGCCCATGTTTGGCTGTATTTGTAACTTATTTTGCCAAATATGATTTTTGAAAGTTATTTTTTAAACTAAGAAAGGCTACCATGCAACTCTTTTGGAGAAAGACATGTCAAGTTATTTTTTAATCTCTATTATTAGTTGGACTATATGCTTCAGTTTTTCTTTTCAAGAATGAAAACCCCAAAACCAGAAGTATTCCCATTAATTCTCCTGATGAAGTGTCCATTTTAATTGTGAAAATATTATCAAATTGCTGATAACAAGGGATGTGTATATATATGTCTTGTACCATATTTATACAATGATTCATGTGAGTTTATACACTCAAGAAATATTCTATTCCTAAATCCTAATGACACGTGGAACACCCAAAGATTGGAGTTTTTCGGGTCCGATGATGACCTTGGAACTATACATATATGGATAATATGTAAGACTTTATAGACTTTGTGCTTTCTAGTGCATGTGTGGTATATGGTATTAGATTGTACGAATAATAACTTTTTTTTTTTTGTTAAATGTGTTGTGCTTTCTAGTCTACCTTACCAAACATATGGTCAAAGCTACCATAAACGCATTAAATGTAAAACCTACACACACGCACACACATATTTAAGAAAGTATCATTAATTTCACAACAAGAAGTTCTCACAACTGGGAAAAAAATTGTTTACTTGCAGATGTCAGCAGCGAAAATCTTGCAGGAAACATGCAACTACATTAGAAACTTACATAGAGAGGTGGATGGGTTAAGTGAGCGGCTGTCTGAATTGTTGGAAACCTCAGACACAGCTCAAGCCGCTTTAATCAGAAGCTTACTTATGCAATAGATTTTACCTCTGTTTTTCCTTATTAATTACTTCCCTTTTTTGCAATTTCTGCTCTTGTTTCTAGCTCTCACTAGACCTCTTTAAATAGTGTTTTTAAAATGCTTTGTTTAGTTGAGAAATCAACTTATTTTGAGCATTTAATAATTTTTCCTTTTACCTACGTCAAGTGTTTCATTGTTCAAGTCAAACTTTAGTGTTAAGTTATTTATTGTGTCAAACATGATTTTCGAGATTATTATTTTGCAATAACAACACTTACTGTTCTTAAAAGAAAGTCTAACCAAAACAGTTACAGTCAACAATTAATTTCAATTGCATTTTACAGAACTCGCAAATTTTTAACCACGTTCCATTGACTTCTATCAAATTCTACTAAAAATTTTATTTTTATTTAAATCAAATAGGGGCTAAATTTACTCAGCCATGCGCTGTTACTAAGGGTTAAAAATTTGAAGAACTTCATATTATTACATCGAAAGACTTACAAGAAAATAACAAAGAAATGAAGAAAAAGAAATTATTTGGTTGACACAAAAATTAGACGCTTTCTCACTAAGATGAAATTGTATCGCACACATGCTTACGATAAACTGCACACAATTTTTAAGATACAACGATCACTGTTAATGATAAATAAATAGATATACATGAATAGCGACTTAGCTAAAACAAATATTATAAGTTTGGCGACTATCTAAGTTAAATTAAGATCTCTGACTAAAGTAACAAAAAAGTTTGGTTACTTATAATGGAGTATATATCTCGGAGTACTTATTGTGTCATAAAATTGAATGTTTCAACGTATTAAAATAAAATTTAAATAAATTCAAAACACCACATATTGTGTCTATTTCTGCCTCCGTGTTTTATTTACAACAATATGTAGCAAAGAGATAAAGTTATTTTTTCAAAATTGACCTTATATTATTGAGAAAATTACACCCACATGTTTTTTAATTTTCTGTTTCAATATTTAGATAAAATTATTTTTTTCAAAAATTTTGATGTAATCCATCCCACCCTAGTCGATTCCACACCACATCCCACTGTGAGCCTAAATCATTTTCACTTCAAAAAAGATCAAAGAAATTAAGACATGAGATTTCCTGCATAGGCCTACTTAATCCTGGTCCCCCACCCGACACCATATCTCGTGCAAGGCAGCACGGTAGCTTTACGATGACAGCATGTCGGTTTGTGACTGATAAATAAGTTGTGATTTGTAAAAATGTGTGATTTGTTACTAAATTTTGCAGTTGTAACCAATAAGTAAGTTGTGATTAATTAAATTATGAATAAGTTGTGATATATAAAATTGGAGTTGAAATCTGTTGTCCAATTTTTGTTGTACAACCGATTAATTACTGATACATCATTTGACATATTCATTTAAATGATATGTCAATAATTAATTGGGTGGACAACACAAAATTGGACAACAAATCTTAAGTATTAAAAATATGTGATTTGTTATACCCACATTTTGTACATTTGTCGACTGCGACTTTTTATGATTAGTACGTAATCGTGAAAATAAATTGTATGTTATTCAGACATTAACATATTTAATTAATAGCACCTTATTTTTGAAAGAATTTTAAATTTGCAGGTATATTTTGAACTTATGGTAATTATGTATTTTTCTTAAATTGCACATGGTTGGGCACGTGACACTAACCCTACCATTGCGTCCAGCTCGCCATCTGCAATGTGCGCGCCACGGCTACCACATTGTGCTTCTCACCCCTTTCCATATGTCATTGATGGGCAACCAATTTGGCCACATATTGTGCTAAGCCTAAAGCTATTGGCCGATTTGTAATAGCCTTTAATTGGTATTGATTATAATCTGATTTTAGTTTAAGTCAAAATTATATAATCAATATTAATCTCATATTTCATGAGTCCCATAACTTTTTAATCATATATTTTACCAACTTTTATCAAAATTTACTAAAAATATAATTTTAATCCCTACCAAACAGGCATTTTGTTCATCTCTTGTTGCCATTATCTATCGTGACACCACAACTTCTAAGATATACTTTTCAATCCATTGTTAGTAGCATAGATCGATCTTTGATACCAACTGATGAAGAAAAAATCATAAACAAGAATAAAAATGAATTGCGAACATGAATCCGTGCACGAATTAATGATTGAGTGGATAATTGAAGAAAAATCTACAGAAATATATATAAACTTAATAAATAAAGTACTTTTAAATAAATAAGAAGGATAATATTTGAATCATATTACTGACTCCATCAATGAAATTCGTTGCCCGGCCGAGATTTTGTGTAGGGTAAGGAGCGTGGGGAGGGATGGACTGGAAATTGAGTTAAGGAATTGTTATTATAAGATAAATCATATGCTTCACATGTATTTTTAGACATAGTTTTAGATGTATCATGCCGAGTTGAATAATATGAAGTCATGTTTGGAGGGCTTAAAATTAAACTTTTAGTAAATTTTGATAAAAGTTAATAAAATGTGTAACTAAAAATGTATGAACTTAACTTAGGGTCCGTTTGATTGAAGTGAATTCCATGGAAAATGTCACAGCCGAAGAATTCGTTTTTTATTTTGGCTGTTACGAAAATGAAAATGGACTTCAAATTTCAAGGTACAAATACTTAAAGAGTATGTTTTTGGCCAATTCCATGGAAAATGAATTCCTATGATTTTTTTTTTTTTTTCAACTTACTTTTCCACCTTTACGATCAAATGATAATTGTTTTTTCTCATTACTACAATTCATTATCTGAAAACTCTTTGATTTGCCATAAGTTTATCAACTGACCCAAAATACATGGAACATCCTCGCAAATATTCTCCTCGTTCCTCTTCGTTGGTTTTAATTTCGTTTTCTTCTCTTTTAATTTGTTTTCCTCTCTCTTTCTGTTGATGCATTTCTTCTCCTCTTCAGGAAGGCAATGGGGACGGAGGAGGAGAAGAAAGCAACACCATTCTTTCTTTCTTTTTGCATAGGTTTCAAATATTCAACATTTTAAATGGGAAATTGCATTGAAAAGACGAAGCAAAATGTTGGCAAAGTTGACAAAGTTGTCATGAACCCTTGTAAAGGGAGACCCTTACCTCCCCCTTCCCCTCCCTTTTCTTCTGGTAATTTCTATCTTTCTCTCTCTTTAAAGAAACCATGCAATTTCAATTGTTCCTTCTATAAATTATTATGAAAAAAAATTGTGGGATTAGATGTTTGTATATTCATTTTGTTCGGTTTTGCATTTGTGATTGTGTTCTATGAATCATATTCTCAACGGGCTTCTATCTCGCGGTTAGGTTCAGGTAAAATCCCACGTCTTAATATATGAATGCATGGACTACTATAAGATTGAACCCAGTGACTCAATATTTGTCATTAGAGTTTTGTTAATATTAGGTTTTCCGTTTTCCTTTTGGGTAATCTGTTAGGGATTGGATGAAATTAATTCGCAAATTTTGAATTGTTTTTCAAAACAGAAGTTTCCATATTTTTCTTGAATGTCTTTCCTTTTGCAGCTCTTGGGTTTTGTTATTTGTCAATTCATGATACTCTGTAAATATAAATTTTCTAAAAAGTTGTTAGGATGATTTCTGTTATTAGTCAAAATTCAACCGCTATCTTCTGCATAATGTCGTGTTTTGTATTCTATATTTATTCTTGATTTTCATATAAATTGTCAGTGCTTTGAATAAAGTAGTTTGATATCAATTTGGACTAGTTTACATGGATAAAGGACCGCATTAAGTGTATGGTGAGGTTAAAGACAAATTCTAAATTAATAATATGATCTTCGTCCGATATTTTATAACTTTTAGATGACACAGTTAAGAGTTACTTATGCCACCCAAAATTTGATTCACTGAATGTGAAATATGGATGCATAAATTTTCTTGAAATAAAATGATTCCGAATGTTGATTTTTCTTAACTTATGCATATGTATGTTGACAGTTTACCATAACCTTTATAAAATTTTCTTAACTATTTTGCAATTTCAGGTTCCATGGAACATTTTAACAGTCAAAGCCATCCTTTGCCAACCCCCATTCATCCTATACAAACACAACCTGATAAGGTTTGTACTCTTCCAATGCCAAGGCCAGATACATCGCCCAAGCACGTTAATAAGGCTAATGTTCTGCCAATGCCAATTCCGGAGACATCAACTGCACATGAAAAATCTCGTATTCTTCCGGTGCCAACTTCAGAGAGTGAAATATTAGCATCTCCGTACCTAAAATCATTTCGATTTGATGAACTTAAAAATGCAACTGGAAACTTTCACCCGGATAGTTTACTTGGTGAAGGTGGGTTTGGTTGTGTTTTTAAGGGATGGTTGGACGAGGAAAGCCTCATGGCTACTAGACCTGGATCGGGTAGAGCAGTTGCAGTAAAGACGCTCATACCTCAAGGTTTTCAGGGCCATAAGGAGTGGTTGGTAGGTTTAATTTTGTTTAGATTCTTGTTTTCTTCATGTCTTTCAATGTTTTAGTTTTTCTGATGAGTGTAGAGATGGTTGCTTGCAGTCAGAAGTTAACTACCTTGGTCGACTTCACCATCCGAATCTAGTTAAACTTATCGGATACTGCTTAGAAGGTGAAAATCGGATATTAGTTTATGAATTTATGCCCAACGGAAGCTTGGAGAATCACTTATTCAGAAGTAGGTTAATGTCTTCCTTTTTCTTTTTCATTTTCATTTTTCTTTTCATAATTTTTTGTTTGATTATTAACACTTTCTTTGCCTATCTTTTGATGTAACAACTATCGAACGCATAATTTCCACTCCATTTGGTTCGAATCATTAATAGAATACAAATTTGATTTTACGACAAACAGTTCCACCCCTTAATTAGCACTTGTTATGTACAGGACATATGCCATCTCTTTCTTGGACAACGAGGATAAAGGTCGCTGCAGGTGCTGCTCGGGGGCTTTGCTTTCTACACAACTCCGAGTCGCCTGTCATATATCGTGATTTCAAAACTTCAAATATTTTGCTAGATTCTGTATGTTCCTTGAAAATTTGAGTTTGTATTGTATTTTTAACGGCACAAATTTAGCTTATGTTGATTTTGTTTGTTCAACCAGGAATTTAATGCAAAACTTTCGGACTTTGGCTTGGCAAAATCTGGTCCTACGGGATTCAATACTCATGTAACTACACGAGTAATGGGTACAGAAGGCTATTGCGCCCCTGAATACCGTACCACAGGTATGCTTTGTTTCTTCTTATAATGCACAATATGTTGGTGCTTCGTATCGAGAAAGTGTTATTTTCATGGCCATAGAAGTTATTAGAATCTATATCTCTAGTTTTTTTGTCGAATTTACTAAGAAAAACCGATATGTTTTCCACTTAAAAAAAATCTGTTGAGATGTTTCAGTTTAGACAACAAAAGCTCGTTATGTTTAAATTAATGCTTCAACGTTGTCAAATGACTGTTTCTTTCCTATATTGTTATGATCTCAAATGACTCTTAGTAAATGAACAGGTAAATTGACAGTCAAATGCGACGTTTATAGCTTTGGAATTGTGTTACTGGAGCTTCTCACCGGGCGTCGTTCCATTGATGAATCAAGAGGCGAAGCAGAAAAGCAACTGATAACATGGGTAAAGCCTCACTTGCAGAACAAGCGCAAAGTATTCCGAATCATGGACACTAAATTAGGAGGACAATATCCTAAAAAAGGTGCTTACATTGCTGCAAATCTTGCAATACTTTGCGTAAACCAAGAAGCCAGATTTCGACCACCTATGACTTACGTTTTGGATATTCTTGAAAATATTTTGTCTCAAAAAGCCAATGCCGCTTCTTCACCTAAGTTGCAGTCACCTATGAATCGGACACCTCGAGGGTCACCATTACCGGGATACAGAGAGTCACCCTTCTCGGAAGGTTCAAAATTCTCGCCAAAGTAAATATCTCACTAAATTTCAATGTCAACTTTTTCCTATCATTATGTACATATATATAACCTTGGACTTGGGGATTTCTGTCTTTTGTTGTTGTTTCTTTTCTTCTTTTTGATACAGATAGAAGCAGAGTTGTGACAAATTTAGACAAATCATTGTAGAAATAACGTATATTTGTTGGCATGAGCTGTCATTAGGAACAAACATGAGGAATTACAGGCATATCATATTTGTAAGATTCCATATCTAAGGGAATCAAGATTGATTTTAGCCACAATTTTTTACGGATTATGTTACTTGTACATAAAAATGATACATAAGGAATTACGTAAAGTGTTGTGGAGCAAAAAGATTGGATGAAAAAGTTAACTGTATTTTAACTAACACATAATAGAGTGACATGTGATATTATGTAATCCATTATGTAAAACTTGATGCATTTATAGCAATGTCCATTTTTCGTATAGCTAAGAATAGGTTTCAATTCTTCCTATCATATGTATAATTTCTACTGTAAAAATTGTAACTGACAGTAGAAACCTGACATGGTATCAGAGCCATATGATTTCTGGCTACCTGATATCAATCATAAACTTCTTCCTTCTCCATTTCAATGGTGGACTCCGGTGATTCAAACACCTTCGGAAACACATACCATGTCATCGACTCTATTGTTGAATTGAATACCAAAATGAAAGAAGCTTTGAACAAAGTTCAGATCCAGACTCTAACTATCGAAACTTTTACTGCTCCAATTGGCATCAAGCTAAACGACTCCAACTATGCTCTATGGTCCCAAGTTGTCGAGATGTACATCTCCAACAAAGACAAACCCTATGTCAACGGCAACTCTCCCCGACCGTCCCCTATTGACGCCTCCTACCACAAGTGGTGTACTTACAACGCCATTATTAAGGGATGGTTTATTAACTCCATGGATTCCTCATTGATTGGATATTTTATTCGCTTTCCTACAGCAAAAGTAGTTTGGGATTCGATTGCCATTACTTACTTTGATGGTAATGATACATCACAGGTGTACGATCTTCGACGTTGTGTGACCCAAATGAGGCAAGGTATAGATTCTCCAAAAAAAATTACACTGAATAGAAAGGCTTGTGGCGTGAAATTGACTTTCGCCACCTGAATCCTATGGAATGCCATGATGATATCAAACATTATAATCGGCTACTCCAAGAAGACCGTGTCTATGTATTATTGGATGGCCTAGATGATTGACTAGACAAAATCTGTGGTGATGTTCTGCAAATGAAATCTTTTCCCACTGTTGAGCAAGCTTGTGCCAATGTTTGACGAGAGGCTACCTGACAATAGGTGATGGTGACAAGCGACATCAATATCACCCAAGGGATAGTTCTAGCTTTCAAGAGTCTCTTGTTGGGCCCATTTGCCGATGGCAAATCTGCTAAGACTTAAGCGTCCATCGATGGTTCTAAATGTTCTCACTGCAGTAACCAGAAACACACTCGTGAAAATTGTTTCCAATTGAATGGGTGCCCTGATTGGTTGCATGGCCTTCAAGCACGAAAATGACGTGATGGAGTAGGCAAAAATAAGGAACAGGTAAAGCTGCTATTTTTGCAATTGAGCATACTACCAGCCATAACGTCCCAGGATGACTCCTATAACTTGAACTCAGGTACCTTCAAAGATATGTAGAATGTACTACTTGGGTTCTCGACTCTCAAGCCAACTGACCACATGACCTTTGATGTTAGGGATTTCTCTTATACTTATCTTCCACGATGTACCACCATTACTAATGCTAATGGTGTTATTTCTCCAATTTCTGGAGTAGGCTTTGTGACTCTATCTCCCTCTCTACATTTATCCAACACTTTACTTGTCGTATCTCTTTCCTATAAATTGTTCTCTATAAGCTAAATTACTACAGACCTGGGATGTGACATACTCATTTATCCTACCTTTTGTCTTCTTCAAGGTATTCTCACAAATGAGATAATTGGACGTGGTAATAAGAGGAGGGGTTATATTATGTAAATGACTTCAGTATGCAATGAGCACTTTATACGCCCCATTCAATTAGTACGAAAGAGAAAGCGATTTGGTTTTGGCATCGTCGTTTGGGACATCCATCTTTTACCTATTTGAAGTATGTTTTTCCTAATTTGTTCACACATTTATAGACTTTTGACATGAAATGTGATACTTGTAATTTGGCCAAAAGCCACTGAGCTACTTATCTATTAAGCCTGAATAAAAGTGACTTTCCATTTGCATTAATTCATTCTGAAGTATGGGGTCCATCACCTGTTACTAATATATTTGGATTCCATTGATTTGCTATATTTGTAAATGATTGCACCTATATGACATGGCTTTACTGAATGAAATACAAAGACGAAGTTCTCAGTATGTTTAAAATATTCCATATTGTGGTTCGTATTCAGTATATATGTCAATTAGAGACTTCAAGCTTATTTCAACCAACATGGTCTAATTCGTGAAACTTCACACCCACAAACACCTTAATGGAATGGTATTGCCGAGAGGAAAAGGAACATATTCTGGAAATCGCACGTGCACTACTCCTTGGTGCTAATGTGCCTAAAGATTTTTGATTGATGCCGTATATACTGTAGTCCATCTTCCCAATCGAATGCCTTCCAAGGTCTTGAATTTTATGACTCCATTCCTAGCTCTATCCACTCACATCTCATTTCCTACGGCCCTGGTACTTCTTCCTTGAGTCTTTGGATGTATGGCATATATACACGTCCATAAAAATCAACGTACAAAATTGATCCTTGTGTAATTCGGTATATTTTCTTAGGCTATGGCATACATAAAAAAGGCTATCGTTGCTATGACCCTATCAACAGAAGGCTCTATGTAACTATGGATGTGCAATTCTTGGAAATCGACGTGTTCTTGATCAATTGAAAGGTACAAGCAAGGCTGGTCACAAAAGTATATACACAGACATATGGCATAGACTATTAAGAGACTTTCTCACCAGTGGCCAAATTGAATATAGTTAAAAGTTTTATTATTCCTTACAACAAATTTAAACTGGCCTCTACACCAATTTGATATAAAGAATGCGTTCCTCTACGACGATCTTGAAGAGGAGGTCTACATGGATGTACCTCCAGATCATATGACATCCTCAAAAATCGAAGTTGTGTACAAATTACAGAGAGAATTGTATGGACTGAAACAATCACCAAAAGCGTGGTTTGGATGAGCTTGGCAATGAAGAAATACGACTTCCAAAAAAGTAACTCTGACCACCCTTTGTTCCTAAAGCATCAATTAGGCAAGATAACAACTTTAATAGTTTATAACGCCCCGATTCATGCAACATTAAACGTGAAATGCCTAGGCTATCATGCAAAATATGATCGATGACCTACGAAACAAACTAAAATCAAACAAATTCCTAAACTAATGCAACGCAATAAAATAAAATAAAGGATATAGTGGGTTGCCTCCCACTCAGCGCTATGTTATAGTCGATAGCTCGACTTTACTGTAATGCGTCATTCTGGTGATCCAAGTTGGACGGTAGACTTGTCCTTTGAGAAATCACCGCCCCAGTAGTGCTTCAACCGCTGTCCATTGACTTTGAATGTCCCCTTACTGTCGTGAGTGATCTCAATTGCCCCATGTGGAAATACTTGTGTAATGGTATATGGACCAGACCATCTCGATCTCAATTTTCCTAAAAACAGCTTAAGCCTGGAGTTATACAGTAATACTTTTTGCCCCACTTGAAAGTCACACCTCTGGATATGCATGTCATGCCATTTCTTGGTGCGCTCTTTGTAGATCTTTGAGTTCTCATAGGCTTCCATTCTGAGTTCATCAAGTTCATTCAGTTGTAACAGCCGTTTTTCACCTGCAGCCTTCAAATCCAAGTTCAACTTCTTCATTGCCCAGTAAGCATGATGTTCGATCTCGAGAGGTAGATGGCATGCTTTCCCAAAAATCAGTCGATATGGAGACATTCCTATAGGAGTCTTGAATGCAGTCCTGTAGGCCCACAAGGCATCATCCAGTTTCTTTGACCAATTCTTTCGTGATGAGTTAACTGTGACTTCCAGAATACGCTTCAATTGCCTATTGGATACTTCGACCTGTCCGCTGGTTTGGGGATGATATGCAGTGGCTATGCAGTGCTCGACGCCATATTTTGATAACAACTGCTCGAACTAACGATTGCAGAAATGTGTGCCCCCCTCACTGATTATGGCTCTCGGTGTCCCAAATCGGGTGAAAATATTCTTCTTCACAAACTCAATCACCACTTTCCCATCATTTGTAGGCAATGCAACCGCTTCAACCCACTTCGAGACATTGTCCACCGCTACTAAAATGTATTGATTTGAAAAAGATGGTGGGAATAGCCCCATGAAATCGATCCCCCAAACGTCAAATAATTTCACCTCTAAGATACTACTCAACGGCATCTCATTTTTTCTAGAGATGTTACCCGTGCCCTGACATCGGTCACACCTCTTTACAAATTCAAACGCATCCTTAAAGAGTGTGGGCCAGTAANTTAATTCATTCTGAAGTATGGGGTCCATCACCTGTTACTAATATATTTGGATTCCATTGATTTGCTATATTTGTAAATGATTGTACCTATATGACATGGCTTTACTGAATGAAATACAAAGATGAAGTTCTCAGTATGTTTAAAATATTCCATATTGTGGTTCGTATTCAGTATATATGTCAATTAGAGACTTCAAGCTTATTTCAACCAACATGGTCTAATTCATGAAACTTCACACCCACAAACACCTTAATGGAATGGTATTGCCGAGAGGAAAAGGAACATATTCTGGAAATCGCACGTGCACTACTCCTTGGTGCTAATGTGCCTAAAGATTTTTGATTGATGCCGTATCTACTGTAGTCCATCTTCCCAATCGAATGCCTTCCAAGGTCTTGAATTTTATGACTCCATTCCTAGCTCTATCCACTCACATCTCATTTCCTACGGCCCTGGTACTTCTTCCTTGAGTCTTTGGATGTATGGCATATATACACGTCCATAAAAATCAACGTACAAAATTGATCCTTGTGTAATTCGGTACATTTTCTTAGGCTATGGCATACATAAAAAAGGCTATCGTTGCTATGACCCTATCAACAGAAGGCTCTATGTAACTATGGATGTGCAATTCTTGGAAATCGACGTGTTCTTTTCACCTAATTCTCATCTTTAGGAGGGATACGTGATAAAGAGTTGAATTGGTTGAC